AGAAAAGAAAGAGAAAGAAAGAAAGAAAGAAAGAAAGAAAGAAAGAAAGAAAGAAAGAAAGAAAGAAAGAAAATGGGAGCCTATCATCTCAAAGTACCAAATTCCAAATTCTTAAGGCAGAAATACAGAGCTTTTAAAAGAAGGGCCCGAAATTCTAGACTGTTGTTATTAACTGTAGTTGTTATTTTCAACTACAGTTAATGATTTTAATTGTCCCATCTCTGCCTCCCATCTCCACAAAAGACTAAGCTGTGACCTCCACCCACCTGTCCTTTAGCCACCAGGGCATCCCAACAGTTCATCTGAGACCTCTCTTGCTGCACAAAGAACAAAAGACATTCCTCTGCCCCTCCTGACCACCACTGAAGCAGAGATGCAGGTCTGTTTCCAAAAAGGTTGGAGGAAGTTTTAAAGAAACAGAAAACATTTTGCCATTTTTTTCAGGTCATTCTCTCCATTACATATTGTCACTCTCAATTTTATGTTTGCATATCTATAGGAGGCAGGTAGACAAGAAAAGACCTATTGTTGTGGTCCAGATGTGTAAATGATAGTGGGGATAGGGCTGGGTGCAGTTGGCATCAGTTACATTGATTTGGGTTTTTGTTTTGTTTTGTTTTGTTTTGCAGTTTTTGGCCAGGGCTGGGTTTGAACCTGCCACCTCTGGCATATGGGACTGGCGCCCTACTCTTTTGAGCCACAGGCGCTGCCCAATTGCATTGATTTGGGGTAAAAATTTATCCCAAAACATTGTGGCTTAAAGCAACAAATGTGTATGATCTCAGTTCGGGTAGTAGGTCAGGAATTTGGGTGTGGCTTAGTGGGATAGTTCTGGCTTAGAGTTTCTCACCAAATTGTAGTGAAGATTTTGGTCTCAGCTATAGTCATCTGAAAACATGACTGGGGCTGGAGGATTTACTTTCAAGATTGGTCATTCACATGGCTGTTGCCTGGAGGCCTCAGTTCCTTGCCATGTAGACTTCTCCATAGGGCTCCTTGAGTGTCTACATGACATGGCAATTGGCTTCCACCAGAATGAGTGATTCAGAGCAAAGAGCCATGATATCCTGTTCTTAAAGGTCATGCTTTGTCTCTTCTAATATTTTATTGGTTATGTAGGTTAAGTTTATTTGGCTTGGGCCCTCCCATATTGACTACACAAGGGCAAGAATACCAAGAAGATACGATCATTGAGGACATCAGTGAGGCAGTGTATATTTGTTGTGTGAGTGATTGAGAATTTGAAGACACAGCCTAGGGCCATGAGGAATTAGTCTGGGAGCTTCCTGCTGGGGTGGGATCTTATCAGCCGCACTTCTACTGTGTTTCCCCGAAAATAAGACACAGTCTTTTATTTATTTTTTTCTCAAGAAGATACTCTAGGCCTTATTTTCAGG